GAAGAACAGAATCCGCCAGATCGAACATCAATACATCTAAATTTGCTCCCAGGATGCAATACTCTGAAACGATAACACAAGGTGCCTGCCACAAGATGACTGTAATGGGCGAGAATTCAGCATCATGCTCAAGACAACATCGAACTCGTGATGACATGCTTACAACAACAAGCTGTTCGGGGCTGGAAAAGACAGAAGCACAACAAAGTGTGTTGCACCTCAAGCGTGCCGACACCCTGACATGTGGGGAATGCTTGCACTTGTCCTGAGCAGCATCAAAGAATTGGAGGATGTTTGTGTGCAGCAACCTTGGCCAGCAAACAAGGTGTCTTTCTTTGTGAAGCTCCAAGCCTCTGCAAACATAATTTCGCTTCCCTTCGAAGCAACCTCGAAACGGGTACCAACTCCAAAAAGCACACACCCACATTGCATCTCCGTAGCCGTGGGAAGGAGATGTCCTGCGAATCATCCTTGCGTGTGATCGCCACTGTGATTGCGCTGGCGCTTTTGCCTTGAGCCGCCGAGATGGCTGGGCAAAATGATGACCTCTTTTTTGGGGAGGGAATTGGGTAGAGGGAAACCAAGGGGTAATAACCCATTTTGTGTGTCACAACGGAACCCCTCCAGAAAGTCAGCTTGCCTATTCACAAAACATTAAGATCCACCAAAAAGCGACACCTGAGTTTGGCCATGAGCACACGTTTTGGACAAGGCGCTAAAGTGTCTGAACCATATTCCGCGATACACCTGCTTCGCTGTTGCATCAAAGAGAGTTGTGGCATGGCAAATATTGCAAAGCACAGCCCGGCACCCACGCCTCTGAACCATGCCCAGACGTCAACAGTTCCTGCGCCAACAACTCCTGTACTGGATCCAGCTCGTTCCTATCCACCTTGCCCATGGCCCGCAAGAGTTCGCTGGCTCATGTTAGGGTAAGCTGAATGGCTGCGCTGCCATCACCCTCAACATCTTCGAGCTGATCAGACTTTGCATTGTGCATCCTTCTGCCATCTTCGCCCTCGCACAAACTCCAAAACAAAGAAACCCAGACCATTACCCGCCACGCACTGGCGCCACTCGCACTGAGATGGGATTTTTTATTCTAGCATCGACCTAGTCTTCGACTTCCTTTGGCAGAATGGCATCCAGCGCTCTTAAGAGGCCCTCCGCCTTCTCTGCTGCAGTCTTCGCATCCTGAGGCTCGGTGCTTTGAGCCGCTTTGAGCATGCGAGTGGCCGAGGTGCCAAGCTCCTCCTGGGGCCGCAAGCAAGCCCTCCAGACGACACTTGACGGTAATGGAAAGTTTTCCGGGCCAAGCAAACAACATGTCCAGCATCTTCGGAAATGAAACCTTTTTAAACTGCGTAACCCACACTCATGCCAAAGCTCTTTCATGTGCATGCTATGCACCCACAACCCCTCTCCTCGGGACGGCAAAACAAAGGACAATAGTAGTGATGTAAAGCATGTGGATCAAACCACCCCCGCTCTGCAGCTTCCCTGACCTGCAGAGCCACCGCACAAGGCGAAGTGACTCGAATCTGCGGAGTCCACAAGCTAGGAGCGGGAGATTCCGCGACCCGCTGCTTCTTGGCTGGTGGCTCACCGTTCTCGTCGTTCCGAGCCCGGTGGGCAAACGCTTGCACGATGTGCGTCCGGAGGCAGATCGCGCACCGCAAGAAATCCTTGGCGTCGGAGGTCCCCAGCGCCTCCCAGCCGGCGCAAGCGAGAGCGCCCGCTGGGTCCGGCGCCTCCTCCCCACTCTCAGCGACCACCGGCAGCTGCTTCAGCCCCAGAAGACCAACACGTCGACTGGCCACAGCAGCAGCCAGCTCTTGATCCGAGCACCACTCGGGGTCGTTCAAGGTGACCTCTGAGCTTCTCCAGGGGCAGAAAGGGTTGTGACCCTTCCTCGCGCAAAGAATGCAAAGCCTTTGAGTCTGAAGGGAGGCTTGTAAAAGGACAAGAAACATTTTGCCCAAATGGGTGTTTCTCAATATGGCTCGTCCTTTTGGAAAACAAAATGAAATCATCCACCCGAAGGAATCGGTCCAGCTCATTTTGAGAAACACGAATACAAGCCGATCACAGCGATGCTGACAACCAGCCAGGATGCTCTAACATCTCATGAGCTGCGCTCGCAGCAATGATTGGCTCACCGTTCGCCAGCCACCGGCCATCTGCGCACCTCACCAGGAAATCAGACGTGTGTGTGTGTGTGTGCATGATTCCTGTTTTGGAGTTGGTACCTTTTCTTCGCTTTCCGCTTGGTTTGAAAGGGAAACATCAAGAGAACCACCAGTTTGGGGGGGTGTCCTGTTTCGATAATACCCTCATTCATGCGCATGTGTGCTGCCAACACAGGCCCGCGCTCTATCTTAAGCTCCTCAGAGCACACCTCGCCTTGGTCACTGCCCAAATGCTTGCCGCAAGCATGTAAAAATGTTGGCAAGCATCTTTGCTGTTCACAGTGCTGAGAATGCAGCAGGATAGTTGGTCTCGACCTCAACACAAGTGGTGGTCGCCGCCAAAGCACCAAAACCCTCCGCTGAATATGACACCATTGAGGCAGCGACCCACATTTTGCCAACCTGGACAAGCAGCACCCAACCACGCCAGTGCTCCGATTTCGAAGCTGCAGCATCAGCATGGCAGGAGTCCAACTGCTCTTTGACATGTGTTTCCTGAAATGTAATACATATGTGTATATAGATATGATAGAGAGAGAGAGAGATGAATGCATAAGTGTGCATATGTGCATTACATTGCATTGCATGGCATGGCATGACATTACAAAACAGTCAATACATTACAGTACGATACACTACAACACATTCCATTGCGTTACATCACAATACACTACATTGCAGCACACTACAGAACAGTACACTACACTACTTCACATTGCAGTACATCAGATTAATTTGCAGTACATCAGATTACACGACTACAATCATGTATCTGTACATAGATGATACACACATATGTATTTATCTACATACATATACACATCTATACATGCAAATATATATATATATATATACATTACATTGCATTACATTGCATTACATTACATTACATACAATTACATTACATTGCATTGCATTACATTACATTACATTGCATTACATTACATACAATTACATATGTATATATATATATATATATAAACGGGTGTGGCTCCAACAAATGTACCAAAATGGCACCGTGATAAATGGAACCAAAGACGAAAAGCCTGTTGTTTGCCCTTCGCCGCGCCCCAAGGCGCCTCTGCGAGCTGCGGCGAGGGCGCTGAGGCCCCGGGGCTTGTGGAACCACCAGGCCGGGCGAAAGCTCGACAGACCTGGCACCAAACGGGGTGACATCCATGGGTGGTGCGGGCGGGAACCCCAACAAGAAACGGGTTGGGTGAAAAATGGGGGGGACCCCAATATGGGAGGTTGTTTGGCCTCCCTAGCAACCCAAAATGGAGGTGCCTGAAAATGGTGGACTCGTTTTGGTGGCAGTTTAAGGGAAGACCAAAAACCAACCTTGGGCAACCACAATTTTGAGAAACACCCACATGGGCTCCGATCGCTTGCACCAAACAACAGTATGTGCAACATCCAACAGGAGCCCATTTTGTCAAAGGCCTCCAGCCAAGAGCCGAGTTGTTCTTCATTTTTTGGGTGAGGAGGGACTGTGGAGCAACACAAAGTGCGCATTCGTGGGGAAAAGTGTGGCTTGGGTGTCTCGAGTGCGGCATGTTGCATCAAAGCCGAGGACAGCACGCCGCTGAAAATCCTCCAAGTCCTGAGAAGAAGCATGCCAGTCACAAAAACCAACGAGCCATGAAGCACCTGGGTCCATTGCACAAAAAACAAGAATGTCTTAACCGTTTGCTCGTCGCAAGCAGTCTGGCCCGTCAGTCTGTCCGAGGCAGGGGCGTTTGGACGGCACTTTCTATCTTGTCGGTCCTCAAAAAGCTCCTGACGCAGTGTTCACGGCTTCGGGGGCGCGCACAAACGGGAAGCTGTGGTTGCATTCCACCTTCAAGTTGTTGGGCTCAAGTGGCCTTGCTTGGGTGTGGGACCCTTTGGTGCACACCATGTACATGGAGATTTGTGTTCACCAACCATTCTTGAGGGTGTTCCCCACTACAGTTGACAGCCACCTGTTCGTTTCACTATTGAGGATATCCAATCCCAAGAATCCACATGCTGTTCCCGTCGCTCCTGCTGCCAAGAGCTAGACCGCTTCAGGACAGCACCCAGGGAATCTGCTACAAGTGCGGGAGTCGCAGCTGAAGCATCGGCTTCCTGCAGAAACCCAAATCTCTACCATGCAGAATGAAAAGAGGCTAAGGTGCCAGCTTCCACAGGCGCCAGCACTGGGGAAGCCATTGGACTACTGCTGAAGCCCATGAAAAACGGAGATGTCGGCTACTGAAGCTGCTTGAAAGGATGTAGCGTTCATGTCATCCTCACCGCAGGAATCAGGAAGTAGTGATGTTGGCCCTGCTTCCAGCGCATAAGAATAGATCCTTTGCCCATAACTGCTCATAGGAATGCTGCAAGCCCCACGCTGATGATCCGTCGGCCGGCATCCAATCTCTCAAGGTGCAACCTAAGCAACCACCCAACACCTTGGCACGACCCAAAAATGTCGCTTGGGGCAAACTCGAACCCTCATGACACACGAGTGTGTGTGTTTTCATTGGGGACCCTGTGCTGGACATCAAATTACATGATGGGATATATGCAACCATCAACTATGTTGGGAGAGTTTGGTGATTCACACCCATGACCGCATTCCCCCTTACGGCCGGCCCTTCCTTCTTGGGGATTTTTTCTGGGACGCCAAAAAAAATGTGGGGTTCTCTCACCTAGTCGGCGACAAACCGGAGTTTGCGCCACAAAAGGCCCTAACTCATGGTGTCTTTCCTTTTGGTTTCCCTTACATCAGCGCAGCCTCAAACATAAAACACCAAGGCCCAACTTCACAGGCGGGGGCCCATGGACCTTCAGCTTCCTCTGCTCATTCTCTTGCATGGCCGAGCCGTTCACGCAGACCCGGGCCTGCGAGGGCGCTTGCGGCCGAACTCAGCGTCGGAAGTTGGAAGCCAAGTTTTGGAGGGTGTGTCTCGACATGGGGGAATGGAAACCAGCTACTGTTCTTCGCTGGTTTCCCTTGAACACCCCTGGAAGGAGACACCAGCTGCCGAACGGCGCCGGCTTCGCGAATCCGAGCTGGAGCCAGCCTTCATGCTCAATCCCTGGTTTCCTGTTTCCGGCTGCTTGCAGGTTCTCACCTTGGCATCCAGTGATCGCACGACTAGCAGCCCAGAATGACTCGGAATTCGTAGCGACAGTGTTGAAGAGCTTCTCTCTCTGTCCAGATCTTGCCAAAACTGGCAACTTGCCCAAATGAAAGCAACCTGAATGCTAGCATGGGCATACCCTAAGAGATTCCCACATCCTATTGCCAGGCTTCCGGCAACGATTTGGTCTTGTAGATTCTCGATGGCACACAGGTGCTCAGGCATGCGAAGGCCCTGCAACGGGACTCTCATTTACAGGGAAACCTCACGAAACAACTCATTTTGGGGTTCCGCCATGAAAGACTTGAGGAGCGGGTGAACGAAAGCTAGCAGTTGCTGCATGAGATGGGTCGGTGACAGAGTGGATTCATAGGTAGCTTGTGTACAACGAGAGGCCCGGCAAGATTCGTAGGATGCGACACGCAAACGCACATGGTGGCGTTGGCAAACCTTGAAAAATGAAAACAACGAGAGGCGTCAGAAGCTGTCTTAAAGCACCTCTGGGTTCTGCATGCTGCGTGTGCAAAGATTCTTGCGAGGTGGTTTACTGAGAAGACTGAGGTCTCAAATGAACAAGCTGAATCGGTGGAACATGTAAAAGTTCGAAGCACCAAGTCCAAAACGGGCAAACCGAGACTGCTGAAACACTGAGCCACTGCCCGGGGGGAGGGGTGGACCAAGGAGGAATCGAGCCTGAGACGGGGGGGGGGGGAGGGGGGGGGTGTCTAAATAATTGATATTTTTCAATCTTTTCGGCTCAAATAATTGAAAAAAACAATCTTTCGGCAGTTGAGCCCCTTACCTTGCTTACGCAAGGAGAAACTTCAGCTAGCTAAAGCTAGCTTTCGTGACAATTGCAGGAAAGGTCAGAGGTCGATCATAGAAATGTTCCATGTGAGCCGCAAGCAGCTGCATGAACTCTGCGGTCTGGCAGGGAGAATTGATGCTTTTTCAAGACAGCCGAGTTTTGATTCAGGCTGCTGTTCAGGGTGTTCGGGGATTGGCACTGAGTGCCGTGCTTGGGCGCGTTGTCTTCAAGCTTTTTAAGTCGTTGCGCTGCAGCGCAAAGAAATTGCTTTTCTCAGCTTAGCCCACTTCTGCTTGAACTGGGCTGTTTTCAATGTTCTTTGCCCCAAGCTAGTGTTGTGTGACTGTGGTCTTTGCTTTTGCTGAGTGTCATGTGTCTGCGGTTTGCAGTAAAAATTGCTTGTTTCAAGAGGACACGGGAAAAAAGTGCGTTCGAGTTCCAAGCATGAAAGCTCACTAGGCTCACTCTCAAATTGGCTTCGGGAGAAGCCATGGCTGGACACCTGCAGCTTCCAACCGACCCCAAACATATTCGCCTTTTCCGGACACCGTCTCGGGTCTCGGGGGTTCGAAATGCAATTCAAACAGGAACCGCCCATTTGGACAGTTTCCCCTAGCTTGGAACCAAATCTGCAGGGATTGACTACACACTGGTGCACAGCAAAGCAAAGTAGGTCGACCCCAGCGGTTTTACAACTTCACTCCTTTCGGATGCTACAAACGTCGTCCTTTGGTGCAAGCGATCGGAGCCGGTTTGTCAGAACCCGTGAAAGGGATGCCCTGCTCTGTCCTTGCTTCTATCCTTGAGGTGCTCTTTCTGATGTGTCCTGTATTGCGCGACTTGCCAGGCCTGGAGCACAATCTTGTTGTCCGGATGTGTACCAATCGTGATTGGCTGCCTGAATGACACCAAAAAACAACAGCAGCAGCATACAGTTCATGATTTATGGGTTGTCATTAATGGCCTTGGTACACGAAGACAGTGAACAAACCGGCAGACAAGGTAACGCATGCAAAATACACGTGCATACAACATCCCAAAAAAAAAGGCAACATCCCAACCAATGCATGCAAAGAAGTCCAAACCGAACTGCATGCCAAAATGCACAAAAAAGGGCACAGAAAAATGCAGCAAGCATGTTGCATGCCTGTTGCGCAAAAACTCGAGACAGAACTGCCTGCCAAAATGCGCACAAAAGGCACAAATCACTACAGCACGCCTGTTGCATGCCTTTTGCATGCGCAGTCTTTGCCCAAAATGATACAAAAGTCATGCAATATACATACAAAATGCAAGCACCAAAACGCATGTAGCATGCCTTGTGCATGCATGAAGTATACCGAAAATGCATAGCCAATGAATGCAAAATACACATGCATACAACATCCCTCAATCAAAGGCAACATGTCCTAACCAATGCATGCAAAAGAGTTCAAACTGAACTGCATGCCGAATCGAACACAAAACTCACAAAACAATGCACCAAGCATGTTGCATGCCTTTTGCACAAACATCGACACAGAACTGCATGCCAAAATGCACACAAAAGGAGACCACTACATCACGCATGTTGCTTGCCTTTTGCATGCGCTGTGTTTGCCCAACATGATACAAAAGTCATGCAATATACATGCAACATGCAAGCAAGCGGAAGAATGCATTTGGCATGCCTTGTGCATGCATGAAGTATGCCCAAAAATGCATTACCAATGCAGCAAAATACATGCATGCAATATCCCAAAAAAGAAAGGCAACGTGTCCTAACCAATGCATGTAAAAAATGCAAACAGAACTGCATGCCACAATGCACACAAAAGGCACAGAAAGATACGGCACACAATTTGCATGCCTTGTGCATGCGTAGTGTTTGCCTAAAACGCGGCCGAAGTCTTGCAAGATACGTTCACAATGCAAGCAACCACAATAACGCATTTTGCATGCCTTGTGCATGCATGAAGCATGCCCAAAAATGCATTACCAATGCAGCAAAATACATGCATACAACATCCCTCAAAGAAAGGCAACATGTCCCTAACTAATGCATGCACAACTAAACATAAGTACGTGCCAAAATGCACACAAAAGGTGCAAAACAATACAGCACCCATTTGGCATGCCTTTTGTACGCGTAGTGCTCGCACAAGATGTGGCAAAAATATGCAATACACATGGAAAATGCAAGCAAGCACAAGAGTGCATTTTGCATGCCTTCTGCATGCATGAAGTACGCCCAAACATGAATAGCCAATGCATGCACAATACATGCACACAATATTCCAAAAAGAAAGGCAACATGTCCAAACCAACGCATGCCAAAATATCCAAATAAAACTGTATGTCTAAATGCACAGCACACACATGTTGCATGTGTTTGCCAATAACGGAACAGAACTGCATGCCAAAATGCACTACAGCACGCATGGTGCATGCCTGTTGCAGCGTAGTGTTTGCCCAAACTGCTCCAAAATTCTTGCAGAATACATGCAATATGCAAGCAAACACAATAACGCATTGTTCATGCCGTGTGGATGCATGAAGTATGACCAAAAACCACTAAACCTATGCATGCAAAACAATATGCATGCAAAATGCAAGCAAACACAATAACGCCTTGTTCATGCCGTGTTGATGCATGAAGTATGACCAAAGGTCAATAAACAAATGAATGCAAAACAACATACATGCAAAATGCTGCAAATTGCATGCCTTGTGCATTCATGAAGTATACCGAAAATGCATAACCAATGCATGCAAAAGAGCTCAAACTGAACTGCATGCCAAAACAAACACAAAATTCACAGAACAATACACCAAGCATGTTGCATGCCTTTTGCACAAACATCGAGACAAAACTGCATGCCAAAATGCACACAAGGCACAGAACACTACAGCACGCATGTTGCATGCCTTTTGCATGCGTATGCAAAAAGTCATGCAATATACTACATGCAAAATGCAAGCAAACACAAGGGCGCATCTTGCATGCCTTGTGCACGCAAAGAGGCATAGCCAATACATGCAAAACAAAAGCAACCATAAGAACGCATTTTGCCTGCCTTCTGCATGCATGAAGTATGCCCAAAATGCACAACCAATGCATGCAAAATACACATGCATACAATATCCCAAATAGAAAGCAATGTCCTAACCAATGCATGCAAATCCAATCATAACTGCATGCCAAAATGAACACAAAAGGCGCAAAACAATACATCACGCAGTTTGCATGCCTTTTGGATGCGTAGTCTCTGCCAAACATGCGGCAGAATGCATGCAATGTACATGAGCCAGCGTCAAATTACTTACTTGGGGTGAATTCATTCCGACGTTGGGACGTCCCGTATCGTTTTTCATGTTGTGTTCTCAGGTTTTGGGGTATCATTTTGTTGGACGTCCCGTATCGTTTTTCGAGAAACACACAAAAACAACACGTGCATGAAACACTCCTACATAAAGTAAATGACGGTAATTTTCATGCTAACTCACATGCAACACACTTTGCATGCCTTTTGCGTCCATGAAGTATGGCCAAAAATGCATAACCAATGCATGCAAAATACACATTCATACAACATCCCAAAAAGAAAGGCAACATGTCCTACCAATGCATGCCAAACACCCAAACAGAACTGCACGCCAAAATGCACTCACAAAAAGCACAGGACAATACAGCACGCAGTTTGCATGGCTTTCATGCCTTGCAATACACATGCAAAATGCAAGCAAACACAAGAAGATGCATACCACGAACCCATGCATGCAGAACTGCATGCCAAAATGCACACGAAAGGCACAGAACAATACAGCACGCATGTTGCATGCCTTTTGCACAAAAATCGAAACAGTACAGCACGCATTTGGCATGCTTTTTACATGCAAAGTGTTTGCATAAAATGCGGCAAAAATAATGCAATACACATTCAAATTGCAAGCAAACACAATCGTGCATTTTGCCGCCTTCTGCATGCATCCAGCATGCCCAAACATGCAGAACCAATGCATGCAACATACACATGCATACAATATCCCAAAAAGAAAGTCAACATGTCCAAACCAACGCATGCCAAAAAATCCAATAAAACTGCTTGCCGAAATGCACACAAAAAGCACTGCACAATACAGCACGCATTGTGCATGCCTTTTACCAAAAACGGAACAGAACTGCATGCCAAAATGATCACAAAAGGCCCAGACCACTACAGCACGCATGTTGCGTGCCTTTTGCATGCGCAGTGTTTGCCCAAAATGATACAAAAGTCATGCAATATACATGCAAAATGCAAGCAAGCACAATCACGTATGTTTCACGCTTTGTGCATGTATGAAGTATGCCCAAAAGTCCATAAACCAATGCATGCCACACAATAAACATGCCAAATGCACGCAAACGCAATTACACATTTTGCATGCCTCGCACATGCATACTTCGTAACCAATGCATGCAAAATACACATGCATACAACATCCAAAAAAGAAAGGCAACATGTCCTAACCAATGCATGCCAGAAATACCAACACGGCCAAAATTCACACAAAAGCCACAGAACAATACAGCACACAGTTTGCATGCCTCTTTTATGTGTGGTGCACTGCTAGTGTATGCCAAAAATGCGGCAAACAATACATGCAACATGCAAGCAAACACCAGAAATGCATACCGCCAACCAATGCAGCCAACAAAAACCCAAACAGAACTGCATGCCGAAAGGTGTTGCATGCCTTTTGCAAACGTACGTGTCTGCCCAAATTGCATCAAAATGCAAAAATCATGCAATATACACGCTATATGCAAGCAAACACCCAACATCGCCAGCATCATCAGCCAGCATCCCCAGCCAGCATCCCCAGCATCACCAGCCAGCATCCCAAGCAAACACAACACAGCATCACCAGGATACCCAGCATCACTGGCATCATCTGCAACAGGCGCTCACGGCCCCAAAACTGCTGGAAAACTGCAAGAATCGGAAAACAAACTCGAAATTGGGTATTGGGCAGACTAACGTACTCTTGAGCAAAAAATAAGCCAACAATTGCTGCAAATCAGTCCGACTCAAGCTTGCCCCCCCACCCACCCACCCAACCACTGAATTTCAAGCACAACTGCAGCCACAAAGTCGCGTTCCGTCATCAGTGCCACTAGACTGGGGTCCCAACCCAGGAGGCAAGAAGTACATCATCTTGCCAGCCAAAGCTGGGTCCTGCAGGGCGTTCGCAACATCTGCGTACTCATCTCACAAAGGTGCATTTCTCCTCGTTCATGTTGAGCAGGTAGGGCACGTCTTTGTCAATCCCGATGGTCTCACGTGCAAAGATCGACTCTCTCCTAAAATCAGCAGTCCTGAAATACAGCAACGCTTGACTTGAAATCCGGCACATGCTCCATTTTGGCCGACGGACAAGGGAAATTCGGACAAGGGAAATTCAGACACCGGTTTGCATTGCAGAGAGGAAACCCAGCTGGACAAACCTTGCACTTGAATGCATGGGACCAACCCGACCGTCCCAACCCTCCCAGCCATCTTGCTTGCTCCAATCGTCCCCAACATTCCAGCCGGCCCAACCCATCTCCGTTGTTGATGTTGCTTTCCCATCATACGACACTCGACCGCGCTTCACACCCATCATCCGGGCAAGACCCTCTCTTGATTTTGCCTCTCTGCTTTCTCAATTGTGCCTTGCTGTTCTCCAACTTCAGTGTGTCCGTTTTCTCTCTGAAATTGGCAGCTCCCGAATACAGGAAGCCAGGAAGCCAGGAAGCAGAATGCTGACAGGTAGGTTCCCCTCTGAGACGCTTCAGCAAGGCTTAGCAGCTGCCTGCGCCAAATCCTGCTGTGTCACGCCCATCTCCTTGAGAACCTCTTCGCGCTTGGCCTGGCATGGCAGGAGGGGGGGAGTAGGCCATGACAGTTGAGAGAAAAAAAAAAAGAAAAAAAGGAGGAAAAAAAACTATATTGATAGCCCTGGATTCCTCTCTATTGTTTGATGGCCATAGACAGCAGCTTCCGCAGTCGGAGCACATTTTCGCATCATGAATCCTGCCAATATCTTTCAACAATAAGCAACGATGATGAGCCCCTGTCAACTTCACCTATGAGTAGAACTAATGTGACAAACACACGCAAAAATAAAGACAGCCGAGTCTATCCGCAAATGAATGAACACTGGTGACGACAGGAAAGCTCTCTCGCTTTACAGAGATCCATCAGGTCAATGTGCATGGAAATTCTGCTGCCGCCGTCATGGCCCGCTCTTTGCATATCACTAGCATTGAGTGGCAGGCAAATTTGGCCCCCGGCTCTTTCTTCGATGGTCAAAGAAAGAGCAAAGCTGAAGCAAGGAAGCGATGAACCGATGCGTTGGTTGGACAGCAACTTTGGGCCAGGTGCAACGTATGAATCATGCTGTGTCTAGAAATGGGGGATGTCTTCTGCTGACTTGTTGCAGCAGGATCGACGGTGAGACCTGTGAGCCAAGGAAACCTTGCTCCCTTTCGGGTGGACGCTCACGTTGTCGCACCTAAAGGCTGGCCGGTCTGCACATCACAGGTGTGCCAAATCACGCAATGACAATCGCAAACAACACGCAGGCTGCCAGGCTTGGTCCTGCGCTCTCTCATTTCGTGGCCTTGTCTGGTTGAAGACTGCTCAACCTGCGGAGTGGTTTTGATCATTGCCACCAAACAACACATCTAAACGCAAATCACAAATCGGCACACTCACCGCAGGGCAAAGCACTCCCATGCCACCGGGCGGCAAAGTAGGCAATCGCCTGGGCTGACAAACGGCACACGCAGGCTGGGTGCTCTCGCGCGTGGCCGGGACTCGGCTCTATGGGCCTGGCTCCAAGGACCAACTGGCTGCTGCTTGGAGGAAGCTCGAACTCGAAGAGTCGGCCTCCGCTCCGAGCGTTTCTCAAAATAGAGGAACCCCAAAAGTTAATCATACTTGTGTGTCTTCACACAAGGACCAATGTCTCGAAAAATGGGCCCCCGGGTGGCTGAAAGGGAATCCACAAGCCACGAGCTTCGCTTGTCTTCTGAGCATCGAACTCGCAGCTCGTCAATCCGTCCAGTGCTGGGGCCATTTCGGCCTCAATCTGGGAGTCAAGGATGGGGAACCCCCAAAATGATGGCCCTTAGGGTTTCCCTTCAGACCAACGGCAAAACGAGTTCCCAAGCCTCAAAGAATCACGCACGTCTGCGCGGTCTCCCAGAAACTCTGGGCACGCGGCTGGGCTTTCGAGGCTCTTCCGCCAGGCTGGAGTACATCAGGTCTTGCCTCGCCACATTGGAGCCAAAAACGGACAACCCTCAAATGGATATAAAATGACATAAGCCCCATGACAGTAATGTCCACCAAAAGCTCCAAAGCAAAAGCCAACCCCATGCGGGCACGGCGATTCTCCCAATTCTGCTTGGCTGCTCTGTCAGCAACTGGTCTACCTGATCTGACGGAAGCTCAGGGACCGGTGGCAGTCCAGAGTTCCTGCTGATCGCTTTGGGCAACACCTCAGCCACGGACGCGAAAGGCGTGCAGAATTGCAGAATCGAACAAGTTCAATCCAGGTAACAAGGTTGGTTGGCACAGGAGCAGTATCGAAGACTGGCTCCTGAGGCACACTTTGACATCATTGGCTCTCTGAAACCACGACGCTTTCCCAAGTCTGAGTTTCCAGCTTGATCGAGCTCGTCCCGTTGCTCAGGTACAAGTGCTGAAGGTGATTTCCTCATGCTGTGTGTTTGCAACTGTTGGTGTGCAGGGCGCCAGCCTGCAACTTTCTCCACGCATCTGCTTCGCCAAGCAGTCCTCGGCTCGCGCACAGCTTTCCCCACACAGCTCGATGCAACCGGCCTTCAGCCAGGGATGCCACAGGGCATCTTTGATGGGCATGCGCTTGACCGGATCCTAAGTTGCAGTGTGGGACCAAGTTTCAAGAGACCTTGCGACAGTTGAAGCCGTTTGTGACGTCATGCCACGCTCCTTTCTCACTTCACACGGATCAAGTCTTCCTAATGCCAAGATGCTCGATGCATCAGCTGTGTGACGAAATCCTGACATGGCTCATTGCATTTTGGCCCCTTGGCTTCTACTTGGCTCAGGCAAGCCCCTTCCTTGGCGTCATGGGAGAGGCGTTCATTGACCTAGATCAAAAGCTTCATATTGCCGTCTCAGGCGGAAGTCTGAGGCACGCACGCCTTTGAGCTCGAACAGCTGCGAAAACCTGCCCTGCTTCAGCCTCAGTCAGTCTCTGTAAGACTCAAGGAATGAACTGACCAGAGGTGGCCAAGAAGCAACAAGAAGTCTGTATCCTGGACGGACGCAGCCTTGGCAAGACCCTGACAGTTTAACCAAAATAGATCGCGAATCGGTGTCAAGCACAGCCTGAGCCGTGCGCAGAGCTTTTGAAGAGTGGAACCTCAATCCGATGCATAGCCACATGTTTCATCTTTCATCGAGTACAGCCAAGTCTCGGCAGTAAGTAAATAGAATGTGTTCCATCCCAAGCACCATGAGTCGACACGGCTGGCCAAGTAGTCCTGTCACTTGGATAAGAACGCAAGAGTACCCAAGAGCGCAACGCAAAGCATGCACATGGTGTTTGCCATGCTCCATCCTGCTCTTCGTAAAGCTCTGGCGGACGGAAGTCGTCAGCAACCAAGCCGTTGAAAGAGACGTGCTTCTCCTGAAACCCAACCCCCCACCCACTCCATACATGACTTCCCTTGTGCCCGCAAAGAGATGCCGTATGGGGAAGGTGCCGTCCCTTTTGGAGCTACTCGGGAACGTATTTCTTGGAGGTGGGGAGCCTCTACCAAATCGGTTTTGAGACCCAACAACCTGCTGACTTTTGTTTCTACTAAGGTTGTCATCTTCTTGCTCGGCCCTCCCTATGACTATCGCTTTAAAGGGGACTCCCTTAGCAGATTCTTCACGCGGCATGTCTCAAACCCCTGGCCTGGCCAGTCGCAGGATCCATCACGAAGGCAACAGCCTGGCCTGGATCGCCAACCCGCACCTGCAACAAGTGCTTCCGGCTGTTGCTCCATGGAAATGAATTGACCCCGCCTGCCACTGTCCTTCATCATCGATGAACAGCAGCCTGATATCTGGTCAGTGCTGGAATCAGACAGCATCAGGAGCATTTCTCTGAACTACTTCCACATCTGACATCCACGGAAAGCGAAGCATGCCAATGGTAATGCATCCCAGTCACATGTTTTCCAGAGACACGTCCTGCCCGGCAGTCTCGGTCGGAACACCCACAAACTTCCATTGAATAAACCGTCTGACCATATGTTTCTGGAAAGAAGGATCTAGTTACCAAAGCCGGGAATGGCCAGTGTGCTCGGCCGTTTGCGCAGCGATCTCAAGGCCTGCATGGCTAGCCCACGCATGTGAAGGCTGGCCAAACCTCAGCTTTGCTGGGCGAAGAAGCTGTTGCCCTAAAAAAAAACTAAGTCATCAGCTAGGAAGCATCAGCCAGCAATCAAAAGATCAGCTGCAAAAAAACAAAATGACAGTTCTGCCAGGACACCTCTGGCGGCATCCAGAACCAGCTGCTTGGCCTGTTCTTCCTGCACACGCACTTCGAGCTTCGAAACAGGCACTCTTGAAGTGCACCCCTGACGCAGAACAGCCTTCGCTCATTGCTTTCCCAAGCATACACTTGTGCAACCTAACATGAGCGACGGACAAAAGGACTTGCTTTCCCAAAAGGACATGAGACAATTTGCAACTCCCTTGTTTTCTTTTTCACGAAATTGGACCTCTTCCCATCATCCTCCCAAAAACACCATAGACTAGCAGTAACATCATCTGGCAAACGGTTCAGCCCCGAATCATCGGTCTGAAGCCAAACGAGCCTCGAAGCCATTGCGATGCAGCTGCAAAGCTTCCATGAGATCGCCCCCGGTGGCCAACTCCATGACAACCTGAGAGAGCACAATCAAGACCAACCTATGTAAAGAACTAGGGCGGCCATGCCTAATGGCTGGGACTACCCTAACCTTTCCTTACCCGGGTTTTGATTGCGGCCATTTGGGTGTCTGTGTGTGTGTTGGTGAGGCTGAGTACCGGTTTCAGGTTGGCTTCAAGCGAAACCAACAGGAAGATCCATCCATTTTGTTGCTTGTTGTTTGACGCACACCCAGTTTGGCCAAACATAGTTGTCCAATAAGGTGGTCAAAGAAGGACAACCCTGAAACCACCGCCACAAAAGGCAAGGAATACCAAGGAACATAGTGACGATCATCATCCCCGAAGGTGTCCTGCAGTCGCATGCACCATCATGAAACTCTCACAACCGCTGGGCGTGATTTCACCCAGCAAGCCTCCAATTGCACGACATTGTCGAGCCCCTTCCTGAGCTCTCAGGCAACGCACCAAAGCATCAGCTTCCCAATAGATCACCTTTTTGTTTGCATGTCCCTTTAGGCAAAGTACCCCTTGGCTGCCTGTTCAAACTACGTCCGGCCAAGTCTCATCATTTCCGCAAAGCGGATCTCACAAAGGGGCGACTCGCACAAGGCCTGGTGCTTCGCCTGAGAAAGCAAACCTCCGACATGGGCTTGGGCTTTTGTTTGGGCTTTGGGCGTCCCTTTGGGCGTCCCTTTGGGCGTCCCTTTGGGCGTCCCTTTGGGGGTCAAATGCCCACAAGGCCCACCCGGCCGTGCCTGTAAGCGCATCTTTTCCAGCTCGGTGACTTTTATCGCCAAGCGCCGTCCGGTGTCCAGGCCTTTGGCCTCACGTCGATCGCTGTGTCCAAAACGGCCCCGGAAGCAAAGCCGCAAAGCCGCGAAGCCACGCGCCTCGAACACATCCCCGAAAATGGCCTGGCGCTTTTGCAGGCTCAGGGCACAAGGCAGAGACAAGGCACAGCAAGGCACGGCATCCCTTTGCCTTCTGCAAGTGCTTCTCTATCCGATAAAGCTCTTTGCCACCATCGAGCTCAGTGCCAACCTGTCTAACAGCTCAAATGAAACTTGCATCACTGGCTTAATTGCATCCCAAGCGCCCCGAAGGAGTTCAAAGGAACTTCCTCTTGCCTGCTGAAAAGCGAGGTACGAAGCATCAGGACTTCGGCTCACTTCGTTGCCTCACTCGCGCAGAGCCGCTGCAGGAAGAAGGTGTCTCGGACGGCGTTGCAGTTGTGCTCATGTTGGGCTCTTTGACGCTGAGCCTTGGCGTCCAAGAAACCCGCTACGAGCAGAGGTCATGGCTCGAGTCGAATTAGTCGAGCTGCTCAGCCTGCTTCGCGCGAACCGCAGCTTGTGCTGAACCTGGGCACTGCACTCTGTGCGCTCCGCAGCGGACTCCTGGGACATCGTGTCTTCGAGGCGTTCGTGCCAAGGTGCGGAAACCAGAAAGCATAGTCGCAGTCATGAAAGTGAAGACCATGTTCCATGCAAACTCCACCTCCTCAGTTGTCACAAACTACACTCAAGGAGAATGATTCAGTCCAGCCTTGGTGAATAAATCGCCAAGTCCTTCACGGAGCGTTATGATCAGAGCCTGCGAGAGGGAGCTCAAGCACTGATCCCAAATCTGTCACCATGGCATTGGCACCAGCCAATATTCGTTGCAGGAATTTGGTGAGAAAAGTGTGAACTGGTGAGCATCCCCTCTACGACAAGCAAAGCACATGAGAATGAATGTGCTACCTGCCTTCTCAAACACTTGGAAGTACTCTTCCTTCACGTTGTAGCCTGCCTTACGGACATACCAAGCATTAGTTGCTACAATGTCAGCTCAGCCACGAACACATGCACGTTTGCGGCCATGTCACGTGGCGCATGCCTAGCTGCGTCAATGCAGGCACCATCTTGTTCATGTCCTCACAAGAACTTTGGGTAGTCAATTGACAAAGGCATTCAGCCTGCTGTTCCTCCATGCGAATCCGCGTGGCTGGCTACAAATGCGAAGACCAGGGACGGGCTTTTCAACAAAAGTGAAAACTCCCACCCCCCTGGCCAGGCCTGGCTCCTCTGGACCCAACACATCCATGCACCCCAAACACTTCACCAGCCCAAAGTGCTTGAAAAAGAAAAGGGATTCTACTATCTTACTCATCCATTGACCTGATTTTCGGTGCCATTTTAGCCATTTGGTTCCTGGAGACCAGCCACAGCGCTGCCCACGGCGTCGATGACTCGGCCAAAGAGGCGCCGAAGAGCCGGAGAACTCGCCAAGCTCAGCTCGTCCTCCTCCTGAGCGCGCGGTGAGCCATCGGCTCGCCGGGAACCAATATGGGGCCGGTCTCCTTTTGGCTGGATAACTGAGGCGGCTCCACCAAAAGGACATGCAAGTGAACAGAATTTGCACTTCCTTTTGAACAGGATAGTCTGTGAACAAATCCTTTCCCATCAGGTTCCGAACGTCCTCATCCGTGGACCAGTCCCGATATCTGCAGCGCACCGAGGCGGGGAAAAGCTCTTTGATCTCAGGGCGCAGCTCAAAGATCTTCCTGAGCTCAAAGGACTTGGGTTTGGCTCAAAACAGTCTTTGAAATTTGAACTCTCAAAAAGGAACAAAAAGTGTGATGGCTCAAAGGGCCATGAAGCCAATGCCACCAAGTGTCAAAAGGACCCCAACAACATGGCATCCGTTTCCTTTTGTCTAATCTTTAAACCTACCAAAGTCATTCTCAAAAAAGAGAAAAAACGACAGGATACTCTCCAAAAAAAGACACACCCTCAAATGCAGCCTGAAGTCTTGCAAAAAAATTCGCCCACGACAGACGTGCCAATCTCCTTCAGGTGAGCCCAGCTCGATTGAACACTGGTGCTTGCCCTGGGCTGCAATATCCATCATGCAAGTGGCAAGTGGCACGAAAGGTACAAGTTCAGCGCCGACATTTGCAAAGGGCTCACTCACATCACTTGGCTTCAGCAAGCCGGTATCCGACGGATCCGATAGCCGAGAAGCTTCTCTTGTGAGCCGATGCCTCGGGAAATCTGCGACGGAAATGCGCGCTGAAGAAATCGTGCGGGCGTAGGGGTTCAGGGCGCATTCTTACGGGAAAATCACCATGGAGCCCCCTCTATTTGGACACATACCCATGCGGCAAAGGAGCCTTTCAGCATCGTCATCGAGGCAGATCCAATGCGCACTGGCACTGGCGCATCATCTTCGTCTTCCCAGTCCCCCAAAGCTTTTCGCCGGGTGACTTGCACTACTGGCATACCAGACTCAAACTCATCAAGCCTCGGTCAGGCTCAGCCTTTACAGGCACAAGCACAGAACATCTGAAGCATCAAAACAGGGGAACCCAAAATGGCCACAAATTGTGAAATAGAAAAACACGGGAAGCCTTGGATTCACATTGTTGCTCCTATCGCCCAGCAGCCGCTTGCGAAGCTTGACCTGGTGTCCCGGCAGCATGCCCAAATCACGCATATGATCGTCCTGACAAGGCGCGATGAGCAAACTGCCAAAGACTCCAAAGACTCCCGTTTGATGCGAGTGCTCCCGAGAGCCTCTATGTCGACAAGGGTTTCCATGTCTTCAAACCCGCTGCTGTAGAGGGCATGTGCCTTGGCCGGGAGAACGCTTGCAACGGCCAGAAAAGTCACAAATAGTTGCGCGAGGAAGGCGCATACTGCTGCAAGCCAATCCTTGCAAGCGTGCGCTGGCTTTGCAGGCTTTCTGCTGCACTTCCATCACACAAACACACAGAAACGCACACACATATACATCAAATAAGAATAATCATAATGATGATAATAATAGTATTATGCTGTCAGAAGCTCTGATTAAGGAACTTGGTCACCTCGCTGTTGTCGACGCAATTCTGTGCTGACCTCAACTCTCAACACAGACCTACCTGGACTTCAGATCCACGAATCGCCTGGCTGGTCTTCTTTGAGTCGACTTCACGCTGGGCACAGATTTTGGAGAGAGCTGCGCTGCCTGCAACACATTCATAAGTCATAGTCTGAAATTTACCCAAAGCAAGCTGATGTCATTCACTACACCTCTCTTACATGAACTCATTCAGTCCGGCCACTCTCGATGAGGTTCGCCCAGCATAGCCCCCCGAAGGTGAGGCACGCCTTGTCATAGCGTTCCCATTGCCTTCGGTTGACAGCCCCAAGCTCCAATCATTTCAATCCAAAACCAACTTGCGGCCAAAGAACGCTCTTCGCGAGCATCAAGCCGAGGCTTACGAACATGCATCGCCTGAAACACATTCACACATACATTGCAACTGCAGAAGAGGCAGGGTCCTCCTGCTAGTTTTCTTACCGGTAGCTTACTGGAGCATGTTGAGGAGAGCGCAGAATTTGAGTCGTGTCAATGCATCTCCCGAACCTTACTGTTTGAGTAGCTTGGCCAAGCTGAGCGGACGCCAAAATATCGGCTTCGATCTGTAAGCACGTATACATAAGCAAACCAAACAAAACCAAACAAAACCAAACAAAACCAAACAAACCCAAACAAAACCAAACAAAACCAAGAAACCAAAAGAAACTTCAAGAAACCAACTCAATCGCATGGTACGTCTTGCCGCGTGCTGTCAGGCCTTCGAGTTCACAGGGCTGCCCGAGCCATTTGAGCCGCTGCAAAGCTCAAACTCGAATGCACGGCTCACACTCGAAACAAAAGAAAACGAGAAGAAGAAGGAGACAGTTAAGAAAGTTGGGAGAATGCCAACGTCAGGAAATGAAGCATCCCGACTGAAATGAGCCAACCTGAATCAATTTGGCTTCTGCCATCTCCTGCCGATGGGACTTCCTGGGCGCAAGCACAAAGCATTCGACGGAGGCATGTGCGTGAGTCTGAACAGGCCAGGACACGTCATCTCCTGCAGGAGTCGTTCTCGTTCTTCCAAGTCCTGCTCCAAGGTTCTGGTAAACGTGGCATGGAATTGTGGCATCAACTTCAATGACATGACAGGCTGACATCATGGAGAGTAGTTATCATCGCCTTGCACCCGGCAGAGGTGCTCATTAGCGGACCATATGATTGCTGGGGCGAGCGCATCACCTGCACCATGTGCTCCAGCGTTTGCCAACATCTCCGCCAGTCTGGTCACTTCTGCCTAGCCAATATCTTGAAAGATATTCGCACATCAGCCCCCGCTTTCGCTCAGCCGAGCCTGCAGGGAAGCTACAGCCTCCGCCTTTTTGTTGACATTCTGAAGCGCCACCTGTCGATGGCTATCAAAGGCCCAAGCAGCCCTTTCTCTGGGACAAAATCGGCTCAAAATAAGCCGAGCATGGCGCAGTCTTGACTCGCTTCACCGAGCTGGCAAACCTGTCACAAGTAGTCAGCTGCGAGAAGCTCATTGCAAGGCCCTGTGCCTCAGTGTGCTAACTGTTTCGTCGGCAGAGCAAGATGCGGGAGAAATCGCGCCCACCATGAACCTGAGTGCGAGATGCTGCAATGGCAGTAGACAAAGTTGGAGGAAATGACCAAAGGTTTTCGCATCTGCGCTGCTCCTGGTATCTGAGCTGCATGCGTCTTGGAGTTGCCGGCGAGAGACTCCCGCAGAAGAAAAGTCAATTTGGATGCGCGGAAGGGAATCGCCTGCAAAATCCAAGGGCCAAGGGAGAGTTGATGAGTTGATCCACGCACGCCTTTGTTTGTTCGTCCACGGTACTCTTCCGTCGCCCGGCTCCCTTCCTGAGCAGAGAACTTCTCAACAGGTCCTTTTGCCGGGTGTCCTCGTGTCGCTTGGCACACATGCGAGAAAGCGCCTGTGCATCAATACTTGCTGCTTCATAAGTCTGGCCCCAATCAAACTAGCATGATAGAAACGGAGTGTTGCTTTCATGTGTGTTTGCTACCCTTTTCATACTCAGCTGCCGCGCGTCTCAACTCTTGACACGGCACGTCATAACAAATACAGCCGACATGTGCGCGTGAGTGTGTGCCACGCGCTAGCGTGCTTGCTAGCATAAACACACATCGAGCCCCAGGGGCACGAACTCTAAGCAAACACTACGTTGACAACCTGCAAGCCTCAGAAACCTCAAAGCCACAACGCAAGAACTTCCACCAAGCCACAACGCTACGCTAGGCTTCGAGGAAAAAATGATGTAAACGGCTGCTCAACAGTCTCTGCACAAACTGCCAACACGCTTCCATGCCAAAGTTTTGCCGTACAGGTGTTTGCGCGTGTCCTTCTGCGACTGATAAGCTTCGGTGTTGCGAGCTCTGCCCAAGTGTCGCTCCGTGCATGTGCTCAGCCCAAGAATTCTGTGCAAGTTGCTCTGCGTGCGCAGGTGCCCTGCACAAGTTGCACTGCGCAAGGCTTTGCGCAAGTGTGCTGCGCAAGCTGGGAACAGGTTTCTATGAGCAAGTTCTGCGCACGCAGCGCTGGCCACAACACAGCAACCTTTCGACGTGACTCCAACTGCCGATCCAGACCTGCAAAAGTATGCTTCACGTAATACTTTCGTAGTTTAAAGTTGCAATCTGCCAGCCAAAGCCTTCTGAATGTGTGCTTTGTGCAAAATTTTCGTACCTAAAAGTTGCGATGCGCCAGCCGGAGCCTTTCTGAAAGTATACTTCGCATAGTCCTTTGGTGCTAGTTACGATTTTCCAGCCGAAGCTGTGAAATTGCACTTCGCGTACTGCTGTCGTACTTGAAAGTTGCGATTTTTCAGCCGGAGTTGTGAAAGTGCACTTTGTGAGTTGGTTTCGCGCTGCTAGCTTTCTGACTTAGAAGCCGCGGAGACCGAGCAGGATTCGAGCCCGGGGCTGCTGGCTTCCAAGAGCAGGCGCACAAACAAGGAGACAAACGTTCAAGCCCGCGATCCGAGCAGAAGAAGTAGCATTTTACGAGCATTTCGCGTGATCGATCGACCACGCCAATCCCCACGAGGGTAGTGCGTTCAAATCAGACATCGTAACATCCTCAGCTTTTGCACGTCGACCACGCGCAATGTTTGCACATCGACCACGCCAATCCCGGCAAAGGGCCGCGCGCGCACCACAGAAATCGTAAAAAGTCCTCAGTGATCCTTGCAAAGGCTTGAGCGTCGCGCGGGCACCTCAGAAAACATAAAAAGTCCTCAGCTTTTTGCACATCGGGGACCTCAGAAATCGGAAAAGGAAATCTGCTGTTGCACATCGACCACGTCAATCCCCGCAAAGGGTGTCATCTTTGCTGATTGTGCTCCGCCGCCTGAAGAGACTAACTAGTTACTTGCGTCCACATGTCTAGTGCGAGTGCAAGTTTGGCTGGGCGAGCTTTCTCGTGCAAGTTGGTGCAAGTTGGCTCGTACAACTTTGGCAGTGCGATAAATTCTGGGTGCAAGTTGGCTCGTGCAAGTTTGGCTGTGTGCTAAGGCTGGCGATTTTATCGGATTAATCCTTCGCAATGCTTCGGCAAAAACGAAAACATGGGTGTGTCATGCTTTCTGGGAACCTCTTGGTTTGTTTGAAGAGAAACCACAAGGAAGCCAAACATTTGTTGGGTCCAAAACCCTAGTTGTAAGATGAACATTCAGCTCGCAATTCAGGCTGGCGCTTCCCACCATCTCGCTGGATTTCTGCCAATTGCTTAATCACGAGGCCTGCCGGCGGCACTTCGTGCAGCAGCACTTCGCAAGCTTGCACATGTCTCAATGTATGGGTGACTCTTTTTGAGGGCAATTTTGGTGATTGACTTAAAGGGCAGGTATGTGGATCCTTTAAAGGGCACAGCCTCAAACTTTCCGCCCCTTTAAAGGGTAGTAGAAAAGAACTGACCCCAAAAAATATGTTGCAACTCACTCAATATGTTCACTCTTCGCGCAGCACTTTTTCTGTAAAGGTGACAAGCAGCTCTCGATGAATGCTTCACTGCTCACGTGGTCTAGTCTTTGCCACCACAGTTGCGCACAACCCGGCTGGCCCAAAAAGTACAAGCGGACCCAATATCAACAAGACTCCGTTCACACCAACTTCTGTGTTGCGCACGAGTTGAATTTTACAGCACACATGTCCTCTGGACTCATGCACAGTTCATTGACGTTTGCTATGTCCCTGAGTCTGTGACTCTTGGGATCCTAGCCATGCCATTCTGACTTGGCAGAGACGCACATGAAATCAAACAACAACCCAAACCCCCAGTGGCCACAGGAAAAACGGGCACCCTTCTTTTGGTTGAATTGAAAGGGGCCCACCCCCCAAAAAAAGAAGGAAAAAGGAAGCAACCCACTGGGTGTCTGGAAAGGACAAATGCCAATTGGCATGCCAGCTCCCAAGAGGTCCTTGTTGCAAGGACTCTCGAGCGCGAAGGTTCTGCTCTCGCCGTTTCCCATCGAGAGCCGTTTTTGATCGCCCGATCAGCGCATGTTGTGCGCTGGAGCCCTCGGACATGCAAAATGTATTTCCATTCTGTTGCAATGGGGAAAGCCGGAAAGCTGGGGCGCTGGCATGCCAGGCCACGATATCTTACCGTACTGGGGATCGACCTGGCCAGTCCTGAACATGCTCATAGCTGCAAGCTAGCTGAAAGGAGTCACGCCGTCCTTTCGCGCATATGCACACCATTCCTGTCAAAAGCGGAGCATGAGTCAGCTGCCAACTGTTCGTTCCCTTGCTGCGCCAGTTTCCTTCTGTCTGGCAATCACTTGCGCCTCCCCATGGTTGAGCAGGTACTGGCACCGCTATCTCCACTGTAGCCCCTCAGACTGTGACCTCATGTGACCCAAATCTGCTTCAGTATCACGCGCGTTTCTCAGAAGGCAAGGACTGATCGGAGTTATGGGATGCGTGTCGTGTTCGTCACCGACCTGCCAAGTCCAACAGCAACTTCGCGCATCCAGATGGTCCAACGTCCAGGGCAAGGCCCATGCCCAACCTTCCGTTTCCGTTTCCGAAACCGAGTTCCGGCCTCCGCTGGCATCGGCTCCAGACAACCTCGCTCCACGGGCATGAGCCGCTGAGCCGCCTATGGATGCTTTCGGGATGAAAGCTGCCGCATTCTATCCGTGCTTGCTCCCGCGAGCAAAAAGGTCAAACCTTTGCTAAGGTCATACCAAAGACCACCCGTGCATGTCAAACTATTTCCCAGGTAGTCACGCAATGAACAGTCCACCAGCCTTCAGTCCGGCGGGGGTGCCAGCAGCCGAACTGGGCACACTTCGCAGTGCAAAGCAAACATCTATCACAGGCATTGCAACTCAGCCTGGCAGGAGATGTCCTTTCTGAGGTCGGAAGTATGTTGGGATGGCGACCAAGTCTGACCTGCAATGCCCGTCAGTCGAAATGAACGAGTTCTATTGCCCTCTTTCTGCAACTCGTAACTAGCATAGAACCCAAGCACAAAGGGGTTGCTAGGTTCGAGGGAGTGGAAAAGCAAAGCATCAATTAGCGGTGGTCTAAACCTATTATGTTTCATGTCCGCCTTTGCGAACCCTTTCGCGGCCAGTCAAGAATCTGCGCACTCCACAGTTTTCTTTTCGCGGAGATCATTGGGCCAAGAAACACTTTCGCGGAGCTTTTGCAGACGGTTCCCGTGTTCAAAATCGGCCTTTCGCGGCCCTTTTGGTAAACATGATTCCTCGCAACCCTTTCGCAAGCTTTCCCGGCCCTGTGATACTCTGTGTTTTCCTTTTGCGCAGCGACTTGGACAACACCTTTACTAACTGCTTTCATCGGCGTTTTGAACCCTTGGTGAATTGAAACATCGAAAGGTCCAAGTCTCAAGTGTGCCGAAGCTGCTGCGCCAAACAAGGCGTTGGATTGATAAGCAAAGCGACGGCACCTCCAGCCCCGACAAGCGCATGTCAGCTCGATGAAGCCATGCCTGCGCATTGGCTTGGGATGCTGTCAGAACGGGCCAATTCCTAGATCCTGCCTTGGCTGCAGGTGCCAAGCCGCGCAGAAATTCAAGAACCATGAAAATGGGTGGTTTCAGTTTGGTTGCCTTACCAATCTCAAACAAAAGAACAATCAAGGGAGAAACCACCGAGCCTGCATTTCCTGCAGCTGCTGTATCTGCCTGAGCGACCAGCGGCCGTCTGATGGCTGACCGGCTGACCCGGGCACATCGATCCGCTGCTTCTGAGGTGGCGACTGGGCCTGCTGCTTTTCCAACTGAGCCTTTGAGAACGATTTTGTTTCAACCCGGGTAATACAATTGAGAACAGCCCCTTGAAGTTTGCAACATTGTAAAGGTTTCAAAATATGTATAGGCCTTTCTGAGTGCTCAAACGTGCTCAATTCTGCCATCCTCAGGGCTGGACTTCCAGCTTGCTGCTCCAACGCTGCACCTGCGTAAGGCTCCGCTAGACGACAAGGTCGCGAAAAAATGATCGCGCCTCATGAATGCGCGCTTCCAAGAGAGCGAGTTTCCTGGCCAGCGCGGGTCACTGTCAAATTCACCCAGCGAACGCGTGCCTTGCAAACATGACAGCTGCGCCCTCCGTGCAAATGCATGCGTTGACTGTCTGAAGCCTCTCGACATAACCAGCAGACGCTCGAGAAATCTTGGGACACCGCCTCGCTGCCGGAACGTTGTATTGAGCGGTCCTGCAGCCAACAAAATCGAGTGGTTCACAAACTCGAATCGGTCCTCCGCGCTTTGGTCCATTCGCTGCTCCACTTGCTCGATTCGCAGGTTGAAGTCCTGGAGTGGTTCTTCCTCTTCCCAACACGAAATCTCTCTGAACGCCTGGCCTCCGCGAAATGAACGAACCGCCAATCCAAATGCTTCTGCTGGTCTGCCATGGCAGCCTCCCGAGCCTGGGCTGTTTCCGAGCGAAAATTCCTTCCCAACTCAATTCGCACCTCACGCTCCGACTTGATGGCCAAAACCAGATCCTGAAGGCTTGGGTCGTCTGGAATGACCTCAGGACACCAGGGCTTGCACAAGATGTAAGAAACTGCGAACATGTTCATGCACACGCACACTCGCCACAGTGCAGCCAAAGCACAAACTCGTGTCGGCGAAAACCAGCCATTGCTGATCTTTCGGGTTTACAAAAACGTGCAAAGTGCTGGTCTACCTTCCTGCTGCTGAGCTTGGTAATACTTCACAATATGCATGACAGCCCAAGCTACCCGAAGAGCCGTCCTTTGCCACGTGCCGGAAGCGTGCCATGTTCGCAAGCCGAAACAACAAGCGCACCGTGGTTTGTCTCCTCATGTTCACAGCGCCTAGGGCAGTGAGAGACTGATTGATGGCACAGCCTGCGCACTGTGGCTGCACACATTGAAATTCCCCCCAACACGGGGAGCCCCGTCCATAGTGATGTGGCACGCCAAGTTCGCCAAGTTCCAAGGTTCGACTCCTCGAGCCTTCCCGGAGTCGAAGTCCGTCGGCTCCACTCTTCGCAATGCCTCAGGTCAAGGGACCGGCGAAACTGACAGCGAGGGATAGGCACGGACGCTCCGAGCCGGCCAGGTCGACGAGGTTGACCCGGGAGCTGAGAGACTGCGCGAGGCAAGGTCACTCGAAGCACTCGAGAAGCGTCGAAGCAATCCTAATGCACTCCTCCGATAATAAGCACTCCTAATCCGATCCGATAATAATCCCCTGCCTTCCTATCCTTCTTGCCAGGTTTCGTTCCTCCAGGTTTCACCATGTCAGGGCATATCCTTTCAACTGGCCTGTCAGCCGCTGTGCCCGGATTGTAAACACCTTCGCAAACAAACTTTGACATGTGTGGTGCACCCCCTGCACTGTAGGCTGTTGAAATCTAGGGCCCCTGCAGCGTGAGATCTTGAGGATCCAGCATTCATGTTGGTTGCGGCTGTAACACGCCTGCCATGTGTACAGTCTCCCTCCCTCCCGCCCTCCCTCCCTCCCTCCCTACCCTCCCTCCCGCCCTCCCTCCCTCCCTCCCTCCCTCGCTTGTGCTCCCGGCTTTTTGGTACCGAAATCCATGAGCTTCTTCACATCCGCAATCTTGCAAACAGGCTGATTCACGGCTCTAAGGCACGTAACATGGCCTCGCTGCATGGGGCTTCCGTCAAGCCAGGCACGTAAGCTCCAAATTCGGGGTGGTCCCTCACCTCGAGCCAACAGCTAGCTGGAAAATGAACCTATTGACAGGCGTCCCATGTCGTCAAGCCTTGAGGTCGGGTGCGTCTCTTCCCGGATTCAGCCTGAGCGAGTTTTTTGAGGCAAAGCGGAAAGCTGCACGAGTTGCAAGTTCTGCACAGATCGCGGATCTGCTCATTGTAGATCTCCATGAACGAAATCTGGCACGGGCTGACTCGGATCTTCTGCAAGAAAAGCTTGCAAAGACACTAAGCGTGGCGATTCCCACCCAGATCCTGAGCTCGTCATTCTTGAATTTGGCTCGATGGTGCGTGAAGAGGCCCTGACAAGACGACACGGCTCCCAAGATTTTCCCTTGCAACATTGCCAAGGAAGCTCACTTCACATTTGCCTCTTCTAGGTGATGGCATAAGGTTTAAATCCGGAATCTAAAGGGCCCTGAAAGGGACAGCAAGGTCGGTCCTCCAGCACGAACGGAATGAGGCCCATTTGCTTGTCTCCTTTGGAGGAAGAAGCGCTCAGCGTGTGGGTTTTGCCCGCTCCTGCATGGTGTTTTGGCTCCAAGCCAGCAACAGCAATGCCAATGGTGGGCATGCTATTTACCGCCAGGTGCGAGCTCTTCACAAGACGCAGTTGTGACACCAACTAACTAGTACAGGAACTTACTTGTTGAATGTATCTCTCGCCATATCGGTTTCTGAGGTATCGCTCCTCAAGTGGTTCAAGCACTGTCCACAAGAAAAGTGCACGGCAGGCCGACATCATTTAAGATTGGAAGAGCCTCTCAGTCACGTTCAGCAAAACCTGATCCCGGATTTTGGGTGGCAACATGCTGATGACCACCTCCAGTGCTGACTTAAAGTTGCCCATTTCAGACCACACCGGCGCCATGAAAGACTCCAACCCGGGCGAGTTGTGCAGCTCCTTAGCAATTGCTTGGGTCGCCAGGCGCTCGCACCCAGATTGCAGAAGGTAGGCTAGACTGCCAGCTGTGATTAGTAGCTGCCTACTAGTGATGGAACTGAGACCTAGCTTCTGAGACATGTCAGCTGCGTAAATGGCATCCACCACGGCGTGACTAACCTGAAATCCTTCTGTCCAGTCTCCATCACGAACCCCTCGACTTACAGCAACATCCCACTGTCTTGTTGAACCTGCCCCACCATTCAAGAAATCCAGGAACTCAGCATTGGCTGCCGACTGCCCTACAGGTGTTCCGGACACTGCAAAGGAAGTGGCAGCCGCCGAGGAGATTCCCAACAGACCTCCGAAGACCATCATCTGCCCTTGCAACTTGACTTCTGCTCCTCTGCCATCATCTTGACCGAAATACCGAGGTCGACCAATGCTCTCCAGAAGTGGGAGGTACTCGTCATAGAGCCCCTTGTCCCCGGAAGCCAGCAGCAGCATTGTCGCCTGCTGAGCCCCGGTGGGGCCACCTGTGAGCGGATAATTCACATAGCGCAAGCCCTGTCGCCGGCAATGTGCTGCAGCGGCACGCGCAAAGCTGGGCGACACCGTGGACAGGTGAAAAATCCCCCGCCCAGAGTTCGCCCACGCGGCGCAGGTCTCTTTCAGGATCGGCAGGTCGTCACCATTTTTGCCAACACAAAGAAGCAAAGCATCAACGTCTTTGCAAAGCACCTCATCGATACTGGGGACCAACAAGGCGCCATGGTCCAACCACAATTTCACACGGCCCGGATTTGCGGATGCTCGAGCATGAGCCACTGCAACCCTTGCAAACGATGATGCTGCCAAATGTGATGCACTTGGAGAAAGCATTGTTCCCATGCCACCAATTACAGCGAGCCTCTTCGAAGTGGCGCAACAACAGACTGAGTTTGATACAAGCCAAGTAGAAGCAGCGCAAAGCAGAACTTGCCGGATCAGCCTCCCCGAAACATCGCGTATACGACTCATCTGTGCAAGCCTGAGCTCACTTCTGAACAAGTTGAGCCAATTGGCTCCAGAGATGCACACATGCTTTCCAAACCGTCCAGGAACAATGGCTTCCTGCAATCGCCAAGTGAACACTTGAGGACACATCAGCTCACCCTTTCACTGTGTGTGACGTGTGTGATGAGCCCTAAACATTCTTGCGCAAGTTGAATTTCCCACGATAACGTCACACCTGTCCTGTTTGCCCATACGCAAACACGCAGAAGTTGTAGCCCTTGAGCATATTCCTGAGTGGCAAATATGAGATGAGCGCAGTTCCATGCCACTGCATTGCACTCAAGTGGTGATTGGTCAGTGTGGCATTGCAAACGTGCCAACTGTGCTCCACGCTCCAAGCATGGTTTGCCAATGTCGTTGTTCACGTGCTCCTGCATGAACACGTGTTCAGGCATAAATTCAGAAATACAGACCGGCCTGTGAAGCGTAGCCTGCATCTTTTGCATCCACACTCCAGTAGGCATGGTCAAACCTGGCAACTCAGAATTCGTTTGAAACTGCATTCATCCTGCCAGCCCACCCAAACGTTCGGCGCTGGGGGCCATGGTCCACAGTGACGGCCTCAAATATCAAGTACCGTGGATGAACTGACCAATACTTTGGCCAAGCTCGAAGCATTGTTGTGAATGGCCACCACAATTGTTGCCTCGGTGGAATTCATCAATGCTCCCTGCGCACCTTGCATTCAACACTGGGGATCAAACACCTGCATCGAGCTCACGCTGAATCAGTGGGCGCACCCTCACTGCAACCTGCGCACGTTGCAGTCGGCACTCGGGCAAACGGAGGTCCACAAAACGACATGCCTTGATGGTCTCCGCCATTGTTTAATAATGCTGATGTATTTGATGCCGAGTCTGCTGTGATTCTATCGGTGTTTTCTTCTATGTTCGTGATCAGCTCGCAGAGTGAATGACAATTGAACGTGGACCATGCTGCATTGATGCTGTGACAATGTCATACTGTGCTTCGTGCCCTACAGCTGCAAGCTTCAAGTGTGGGAATTGAAGCTGAAGTACAGTTCCAGCGCAGCCGCTTCAATGGGTTTAATTTTGTTCTGTCGCATGCTATACAAGTTTCCCATATATCCCACTTAAACCCCTCCCCACCATAAGCGAACACACTTCACATTTGCAAACTGCACATTAGCCCAACTGGTTTGGATTGAAAGCTTAAAAAATGAGAAACATTGGTAATCCTATTTATCAACTGCACATGATGTTTGATCAGATACAAGTGGAATATCCGGACCAGACATGACCACAAAGCCTGACAAGCAGTCGTGAAACGGAAATCATTTCAAACCAGATTCATCTGCAGAATCTGCTGACGGCACCTCGCAACCATTTCTAGCAACCCCAGGACAGACATCTCAAGTCGGCTGCAAAACCAGGCATTGGAAGCCAAGCCAGGCCACATGCTGGCTGTTCGTGACATGCAAGCCCAATGATGCCAATAGTATCCAGCAATGTGTCTTTGCACAACCAACCATTCACCGTCTGCTAAACCCATTTTTTGCGAGTTCGCGTTCCGCATGTGTCTGTTAATTGGAGTGTAGATTGCAAATCGCGCATTGTGTTTGATTTCGAGTTCGTCAGATGCGTGCGTGTGGGCTGGTGGCATATGGGCCCTCAAATTGCCACCAAACAATTCGTAATTTGCGAGTTTTGGACACGAATCTACATCCTCAGCTTCTTGATTTGCTGGTGTTTGCGAGCTTTCACGCAACCATTCATTACAGATGGGCATGTGTTTATGTTGGACAGTGCTTGTCTTTCGATTCCACCCAACTATCAATCAAGTTGCTCAGATTCTGCCAGGTCCGACACGTTCGTGTCGAATTCTCCACACACGCAGACCAGGCCACCCTTCTAGTGCTGTGTCTGATCCTCCTTCGGCCCACAGCGGATGCTGGAAAATTTGCTTTCGTGCAGTCCAGGCTCTCGCAGGTCGGTCCGGCGGAAGCCGCCCCGGCGGGGGTGGCCCCGGTGGCCGCGGCGCCGGCGAGATGCCGGTCACTGAGGTCACGCGGTGGCCACGCTTGCGGCGCCGATGTTTTCCGTTGCCTTGCCTTCTATCGCTGATCTTTAGCACGAGCGTCGCCGAAAACACAATGACCATGAGTGTGCTACCAGTGTGAGAAGCACGTGATTGCGGGGATTCCGTACAAGAGCCCTCGCGCATCTTCTGACGGGATTTGACAAAGGTCACAAGGCGTGTGATCCTGGCTGATCTCCAGGACGCCGTGCAAGCCGACCGCGTTGAGCTCGCCGCTGCTAGCGGCGACCTGAAGCAGTGCCTTGACCAACTGGTGAAGAAAGAGATGGCGCAGCGGCGCGAAGAAGCAGCGAAAGCGCTCAGCAGAAACGCCGCGAGGATGGCACCGCTGCTTGCAATCCTGTGCGCCACGCGCCCCACGCGAACCCAACGCTCCTCAGTACAACAACAAATCACGCGATGCGTGTGCTTAATTACCTGGCCAACCTGCACGTGTCATGTGGTCCTTTACCAGACCGTTCTTGAGGGCTTAACATCTTCCAACTTTTCGAGCGTGGTCCCACTTCAAAGGTTGCTTAAGATCGGTTGCAACGTAAGCTGTTCCGTTAAGGCATGTTGCACTGCTCCTAGCTTGAACCCAAACATGAAACCCCAAAAGAACAAAGCTCATCCGAAGCGGCCGCAGTTCTTTTTACCGGGATTGCTGAAAGTAGCACTGCTTCCAGGGCACTGGTGCGCCTGGAGCAGGAGGCACATTGACCCCCCGAAATTTGAAAAGGCAAGACAATGCGTGTCCTTGCATACAAATGCAGTGCTGGCGGGGCGCGGCATGCGTGCCCACGCCCCAAGGTCCGGAGACCGAAAGTCCGGAGACTCGAGGTCCGGAGACCAAAGTTGGTCCGGAGAGCTGGTCCGGAGACCAAAAGGCCCGGAGGCCACCCATGAAAGTGCAGAGCGTCTGCACCTATACTTGCAGAGCCTTGTATAGGGCAGTGCAGGGTGGGTGGGTGGGTTTCAAATGAAACCGCAGGTTTGGGTCAAGGCTAGGAGCAAAACGGCCAACGCGTAGTTCGATTCACAACATGCCCTAAACACAAGGGAAAAGAACCCTAAGCGTTAAGGCATGTTGCACTGCTCCTAGCTTGAACCCAAACATGAAACCCCAAAAGAACAAAGCTCATCCGAAGCGGCCGCAGTTCTTTTTACATTGCTGAAAGTAGCACTGCTTCCAGGGCACTGGTGCGCCTGGAACAGGAGGCACATTGACCCCCCCTTCAGTGTTTCAGGCAACCCCGGTATAAGCGGCCGCAGGCCTCATCACCCGCCCTTCAGAGTGGGGTTGTACCTGGCAGGGCACATGCGAGCGTGGCCATGCACGCTGGGCTGTGAGCAGCCTGTTACGCAGTGTCTGCACTTTTTTCGGTCAGAGCGGCTTGATTAAGCGGCTGGCTGACGTTGCCAGTTTCTGGCTGACAGGGCGACGACGGCCATTTGGTCGCAAGGCATGTCGGGATGCAAATCAGGCTGGCGAAGCAGTGACGGAGGCTGCTGCCAAATGCTCCGGGCGCCAGGGCGCATGCATCGGACACAGTTGAATGCCTCGGCCTGACATCGCTAGGCTTGCAGGGCTGAAGCGTATGCGACTTTCTGGGCGATGGCTGAATCGGGCCAACCGACCTCTGCTGAGATCGTCAGCCCAATCATTGCACCTTCCTGGAACGTGCATCGGCTGCAGCAGCACATTGTGAGCGTGAGCCCAGAAGGCTGTTAACTGCACGAAGAGTTGCAACGGCCAGGAGGTCGTGAACAACTTGTTAAGGCGGCGGAATTGTCCGTGCCTGAAGGCATGCTAAACGAGTAGTGCCCACCACCAATGTGGCTGTGGGTTGCTTGCAGTAGTGCTAACTGTGCCAGCGTCTCGAAGCATGCGATGTACCGCTGTCCAGGCTTGACAAGGCAGGGCCACACGGCTCTTATGTCTTGCATGTTCCAGGTCTCGGCAAACCAAACTACTTGGGAGGACGTGATTGCCCAGCCCCCGATCCCTACCAAATCGTCTTCGGCACACGCATCCGCGGCAGCCAGAGCTTGCAGCTGGTGTGGCCGCGCCAAGGGCTGAACAGGCGAGTGCCGAAAGCACGACGCCAGCCAAGTAAGGCATTGTTGGCTTGACTTGGAAAGGCTAGTGTATGGGTTGTTGGGGTCCGCGATGCGCACCCATGTGGGCTTGCTAGTGCCAGGCACTTGCGGGATGTCCTGAGGGCAGTGCATGGTGCGACCTGAAATTTCCAAGATTTTGGAGCCCACTGTGATCCACAAGCCCGGAAGGCTATGGCTAGTTTTGAGATCCTTGTTCAAGGATGCTCTAAAGGCTGACCACATTTGAGGCGGTATCGAGTGCATCGAGCCTGGTGGGCTGTGTGGCGCTAGCCAGGATCTGAGATGTAGGGCAATGCTGGTGGCCCAAGTAAGCAGGCCTATGCACTGCTCGAGTGTTTTGCGGGGTACCCGTCGGTTCCCCAGCAGTGATTTGATCAAGGCGTCCAGCTTGGTTAGCTTAGCGGACACGAGCTGAATGGTGTCGTGGGAGAAGTTGATCTCCCAACCGCACCAAACAAGGCTGTCCTGGAATTGCGCCTTTTTCCATGAAATGGGCGCTGCAATGGCGCAAAAGAAAAGCACCACCAAGGCAAACATGTCTGGTGCGCTATCCCAGAAGAGTGCACACAGAAGGTCGTCCACAAAAAGGAAGGCTTTGTGGGGCTTCCAGGCCAGCAACCCATGCACTTGGCGAAGCAAGAATGCGCCGGTGCGCTGCCACCAGAATGCCGAGAAACGGCCCCCAAAATGGCACACTCTGTAATGGTAGAGCTTTCCTTGAAAGGCGAAGAGTAGAAGGCCATGCTCTTCAGGGCGGACTTGCACCTGTTTGTGTGCGGCTTTGAAGTCAACGCTGGCGCCTATGAAGGCGCCTGGAGTGTCTTCTGGCTGCGTGGACAGCGCCAGGTTCGATGTGCCATTGGCAAGCTCAGGCGCTCGGGCAGATGGCATCTGGTATTCACTTGGCACACGGTGCTGTCCAATACAAGGCGCGGCTCTTTCCCTTCTGCAAAAACAACATTTAACTTGCCTAGTGGAATGCCTAAGGGCCAATTTTCCCGAGCGTCGGCTATGCTAAGGCTGGTTTCAACAATCCAGTTGTTGGCAATTTCATTGCGCAGCAAGCCTTGCACGGTTTCTGGCTCGTCTTCGGCCATCTTCCAGTTGCCCTCACAAATTTCCAGATCCGGCGGCAGCGCGGAGTCTGGCTTTTTTGCCGGCCATTGAAGGCTGGGTGGCAAGGCTGACACGGCTCCTGTCGGTACTCCGTGTTGCAAAAATGGCAAGAGGGCCATGTCTGGGTCACCCCAAGATTTGGCCAGGGCCTGCAGCAGGTGGAGTCGGTATGGCTGACCTGCCTCGGGGCTCATGTCTGAAGGGCAGGGCAATCTTAGAGCTGTGTATGCTAGAGTTGCCACTTCCAGGCTTTCGGACGGCGAGAGGGATTCGTGGCACCAGTTTGCGCTCATGCATCCAATGCAGCCAGGGCCTGGCGACTGCTTGCAGCGGGTGTTCTGGTTTGGGACAACACCAATCTGCGGAGGAGTGCATTCCTGCTCCGTCGCAGGTGGGGAGCCTGCAAGGCGCCAGTGTGATGGGTCTGGAGAAGTTGGAGTGCAATGGCAGCGCTTGTCGGAAGGAGCCTGTTTTACTGACCCTTCCTATGCCTACCTGGGCCAGTTGCAGAAGGAGGGTGTTCAGCGGTCAGGGTGCTGAGGTATACCCCTTGTTCTTTCACGCCTGCAATGCTTTGATGCTTGTG